TGGCTTTCCACCTTTAGTCTGGAGTTTCCCAACCATTTCTCACCTGACGGCATCTCTGAAGACGGCTGCCAGTACCATCGGGGATCCCCCTAATGGGTTCTTTTTCCCTCCACGCTCACCCCACTGTTAGCTTCTCTAGTTACCAGCATTAGCCCCTAAGCCACTGGACTGAACCCCTGGACGGTGGACAAGTCTCTCTGCAAACGTCCACCCTCCCTCTCATCAGTGTCTTCCTCTCCACATACTCATCTCTTCTCTCTCAGCCTCCCATGGCATGAAACCTCACATACACTGCGTATGCCATGATACTGCCTGTGGAAAGCAGACACCATGCTTCTGGCAAGCCTCGTGAAGGCGATGTGTGCACGACACTGGGCACACAGGAGATCTGCAAAACCTGAATTGACTTAGGCACAGTTCCCAAGTCAGCCCTCATTCCAGCAAAATAAAACAAACACTGGGGGATTACTGGAGGGTGTGGAAGGCCCTGCCCATGCCAACTAGCACACATGCTCCCAGGGGGCTCCGCAACACTGGACCAGGGAACTCGGGCTGAGGATGCAGCCCGGGACGGCACACTGGCAGACAGAGCCCTGGGTACTCCATGTGACAGTCCCCTCTCCAAGCACCAAACAGTACCAGACTGGCCCTCTCAGGCCACCAAGATTACTGCTATTCTGACACATGGTCTGGCAGTGGCCAGCTTTCATCTGGACCCTGTTCCCAAGGCCCAGATGACATTCTCCCACCTGAGATCTCTAAGTGGCGGAAGCGCGACTGACAAGGCCAGCGTGGAGCACCGTCTTAGAATCACTAGCTCCACTGCTGTAAAGATGAACAGGGCAGAAGAGAAATGAGTGCTCGTCATCCAACCTGGAGAAACCCGAAGTTCTGAAACCTGTCTGCCTCAACAGTAGACAACAATCTCTGCAACCAAACACCATCCCTATTCAGCTTACCAAGGTTGGTAGATGATAGTTTCTGTATTGTGAAATATATCATGCAAATGAAAGCATATATTAAATATTCAGTTAAAGAAAAAAAACTCTGGGCTAAGAAATAGCATTCCCAGTACCCAGAAGCTTTCATTGTGTTTTTTCTTCATTAAACCCACCAGTGACAACCATTCTCCTGAATTTAGGTAGGGTTAATGAGTCCCTTCTGTTTTTTACAGTTTTACCACCTACGAAGGCATCCATAAAAAATACATATATTATATATATACATGGTTTCGTTTTACATTTTTAAACTTTATATAAATGACATCATACTGTATATTTTTTCTGTCATCTGCAGCTCTTGTTCAACATTATGTTTCTGAGATTCCAACACACTGATATTAACTATCTATTCCCCATTTTTTTGCTACCAGACAGCATTTCATTGCAAGACTATACAACAGTGTGTGATATTAACTCTTTCTTTACTCAACCAGACCCACTGAGTGGATACTAATGTGGCTGGTCTGCTAATAACTTTATGCCATGGGTGGTGATACCATGCTGGCTTCCATGTGGCAGCCCAAATGGCAAAACAACTAGAGATGTTCCACCTGATGACTCATAACGAGTCAGAAAGATCCCACTAGGAGACAGAGCTATGAGGTCCTGTTCTGCAAGCACTTGGGAATGTTGCTGGATGAACTTGGGGAGATGAATCCTTAAGATACAGCTCTTACATGGTTTCAATTCTATAGCTTTATAAAGCAGGGGCAGGAGAGGAAAAGGCTGCTTTCACACTGCAATCTTCACCTTCACAGGCACATCAGAGCACCTTTGATCATGGAGAATAGCACCCAAATCCAAGAAAAACCTACCCTTTCAGACGGCGAAAGCTAAATATTTAGTCTGGGAGGCGGCGGGCTGAAGCCCGTCATTCTCTCTGCCACAGGGAAATCAAGGACAGCGGAGGATTGTCCCTGAGTCCTGAAGGTTTGATTCATCACCCTCCTAACTACAGACTCCTGGACAGGAATGCTTCATCATGTGTTACGTCCCAGGTTTGGGGGTGGGGAAGTGGGGCGTGAAAGACAGTCTCCAGATGCAACTCCTGGCCACCTTTACTGTGCGATGCCTGTGTGCAAGGCCCTCAGATGGTATTGTGTGTTAGTCACTCAGTTGAGTCTGACTCTTTCCGACCCCATGGACTGTAACTCACCAGGCTCCTCTGTCCATGGGATTCTCCAGCAAGAATGCTGGAGTGAGTAGACATTCCCTTCTCCAGGGGATCTTCCCAACCCAGGGATTGAACATGGGTCTCCTGCGTTACAGGCAGGTTCTTTACCGTCTGAGCCACCTAACTCATCCCAGTTAATTCCTGCAGTGATCCCGTGAGGCAGGCGATACCCCCATTTTACACCTGAAAAGACTGAGCCTGAGAAGTTTGATGACTTGCCCAATAATGTATAGCAAGTCAGTGACAGGCCAGGATTCAGTCTACAGCTGCTGCCAGAGCCTCACACTCATCCAGTAGACCACTCTGCCACCCCCTGTGTACACGGTGACTTCACAAAGGCCATACATGCCCAAGTGTCTGCCATCAAATGGCAGCGGATTCCACGCCCACACACAATGAATACCTGGATGGCAAAGGCCTGTGAAAATTCACAGACCACACATGGAAAATGCAGCAGTAGCCAGGCAGATGGAGGAGGCTCCCACACGGCTGCAATCGCCTACAAGCACTCTGTCCGCTGACAGTTAACCAGCACTACATGTCCACTGTGTGTTGTGGGCAAAATTGCGACCGATTTTTCTGGCTACTGCTCTAACCATCAACAACCCTCAACACAAACAAGAGCACAAAGGGAGGCTAACCAGATATGTGGATTTCAAGGTCTACCCATCAGAGAACTGAAGAGAGCAACAAATAGCTCAAGAACTTAAGTCCGAAACTGTTAAGAGCTGAACGCTGCCTTCCAGCCCCAAATTGAGTGACATCAGCTGTGCTTGACACAAATTTTCCAAGTCAGCTCAAAGACCAAGATGGCAGTGCCGAGCACCAGGGCTCAGAGGCAGCGTTCTCACAGTGGACACCTGAAGTGTTCCTCTCCACCAGCCACTCGCCACTGAAGAGATTCCGTTTTTCTAGCTCTGGGTGCCAATGGTGCCTCTGTTGATACAAGATTTGCCAATTGCATTGTTGTTCCTTAACCTGTGAGACTACAGTAGTCATGTACGGATGTGAGAGTTGGACCATAAAGAAGGCTGAATGCTGAAGAATTGATGCTTTCAAATTGTGGTGCTGGAGAAGATTCTTGAGAGTCTCTTGGGCAGCAAGAACATCAAACCAGTCAATCGTAAAGGAAATCAGTCCTGAATATTCATTGGAAGGACTGATGCTGAAGCTGAAGCACCAATACTTTGGCCACCTGATGCAAAGAACTGACTCATTGGAAAAGACCCTGATGCTGGGAAAGATTGAAGGCAGGAGGAGAAGGGGACAACCGAGGATCAGATGGTTGGATGGCATCACCAACTCAATGGACATGAGTTTGAGCAAAGTCCGGGAGATAGTGAAGGACAGGGAAGCCTGGTGTGCTGCAGTCCATGGGGTCACAAAGAGTCAGACACAACTGAGCAACTGAACAACAACAACCCTGTGAGGCTCAGCCACTTTTCCTAACTTAAAGTCTCTCTTCTCCATGATATACTAGGTGACCCATCTTCAGGATATGAGGCCAGAGCTCTGCAGAAGCTTGGAGAAAAGACAACAGGGAAACAGTACCTCTGCTACTAATGATGCTATAGACAGAAGATCCAAATGTCTAACCCTCTCTTATTTCTGATGCCTGCCGGCCATTGAGACCTCACAAACCTCAAAACCACAAAATCCAGACAGGCTGATCGCTGTCCTCAGAGCAGTCTTCCCAGATGCTGTGGGTATATAGCAGCCCCAGCTCGCTATATACTCTGTTTCTTAAAGCATTATTCCCCCATGCCCCAGGACTTGTTTGGGAAGATTTTGCCAGTTATTCACCTGCTCTCTGGTTTACAAACTACATTCCATATGATTCTTTTCCTTAAAATTTCTTTAAAACATCTAGGAATTTTGTACAGTGTAACAAACAATGAAACAATAAGCAATATATAATAAAAACTCCTCCCCATCTAATATACTTAAAACTAATCCCCTGCCTGGGAATTTAGTGGCCATGGAGATGAATATGCACCATTAACACTGCTATAAGATGGGGATGTCAGTAAATAAAGTCTAATAATAACATTATTTGTGACATGTATATAACAAGTATAATACAGCTCAGACTCTGAGTGCAGAAGGTCTGAATCAGCACTCCAAAGGGAATCATGGATCATCCCCACAAACAAAAATGTACAGACAGAAAATGCCACATACACATACACTGCTCTGGGACCTCCCTGGTGGTCTGCTGGTTAGAAATCTTCCTGCTAATGCAGGTCGCAGGGGTTTGATCCCTGGTCCAGGAGGATCCCACAGGCCTTGGGGCAGCTAGGCCCGTGCACCACAACTACTGAAGCCTGTGTGCCCTAAGGCACACGCTCTGCAACAAGAGAAACCACTGCAATGAGGCGCCTTCGCACCACAACTAGAGAGCAGCCCCAGATCACCATTAACTAGAGAAAACCTTTGCACAGCAAGCCTAAATAAAAAGGAAAAAAAAAAAGAACCACTGCTCTAAGTGCTCCTTTGTATTTCCTGGAAGGATAACTGTGGCCATGGTACCTGATCATCAAAAAGCAGTTAAGCTCTGCTCAGTAGTTCCTTTTGGCCAAATAAACAACTTGGTCCATCCCCATCTTTGTCAAGGAACCACTGACCCTTCTGAGAATCCTGAGCTGTGTATTCCCCTCTGGGCCATATTAACATACTTATAAGTCTTGCAAGTCAGTTACAACTTCTCTGGAAATTTCTGACAGTTTATAACATAAACTGTTCCTTGTCACTTTCCCACATGTTTTCAGGAGCTCTGAGCAATCCTGGCTCCCCCTCCTTCACAGGGCAGGAGGAGGATGTCTTACCGGGATCTCCCACCAAAGCAGTTTGTGCTTGGGGGCTGGTGGCGGTTCTCTGGAGCAACGGTTGTCCCGCTGGATTCTCTCGAAGGTGGCTGTGAACCTGGAAAAGGGATCCATCATAAGAAATAAACATTGAGAAGCTCACACCTCTGTTCGAGATGTGGGTACAGCAACACCGCTAACTGCATGTTTCCACCCCCGAGCGAGTGTCCACTCAGCTGCAGCTGCCAGCCCAACAAGGACAGGGAGGGCCAGGTGAGATCTAACTGGGGCCGAGGAACAGAGGGGCTCAAACCCGGAAACACCTCCTCTTCCTCAAGACCTTCAAGAACGTCTCAGGCACTTACAGGCATGTTGCCTTATACATTAAATGAAACCACACCACGTGAGACAAAGGCCAGATGCTGGCCATGCAAAGTGGGGGCAAGGAATTGGGGCATCTCTCCATATCACAATCAGTGAGCTTTTGAAAAGCTACATCAGGAACATCCCTGGCAGTTCAGGGGTTAAGAATCCACCTTCCAATGCAGGGGACATGGGTTCCATCCCTGGTCAGGGAACTAAGATCCTACATGCCGCAGGACAAGTAAGCCCACAACTAGAGAGCCCGTGGGCCACAATGAAGACCTGATGCAGCCAAAAAAATAAATAAATATTTTTAAAATAAAATTAAAAAACTTAATAAAGTCAGATCAGACCCAATCTAAACCAAATCATGACACTCTCCTGATTAAAAACCCTTCAACAGCTTTCTGCTTCTTACGTTGAGGTTCCAAATCCTTATCGAGGTCTTAGAGGCTATGTGATCCAACTGGCTTCATCTCCCACCACTCTACTTTTCTCACTCCTCACTATCCAACTGGCCATCCCTATGCCTACGAAAGGCCACATTCACTTCCATCTGAGAGCCTTCGTGCCTGAGACCCCTCTACCTCTTACTCAGCCACCCCAACACCTCACATCCCCACCTTGGCCTGTCTAAATTCATGTTCCAGCGGGTCTCAGCATCCTCAAAGAAAACCTTCTCTGGGTCCTTAGTTTAGATGAGATTCCCCCTAAAGTGGAGGAACCTCACACCACCCAGCACTCTTCCTTCATAGTTCAGGTCAGTTATGATTATATAATTATTTGTGCATTTACTCATTTGGTGTCTAACATCCCCTGCCCCCACCGAGTAGATTACAAGCTCTAGGGAGCAGAGACCATGTGAATTTTGCCCCTGCCATCTGACCAGGACCTGGTCCAGGAGCTAGTACACACCCAGTGCTCAATTATGGACATATATGCTGAATGAGTGAATGATGCATGTTCTCTAGATGCACAGAAAGTGCCCCAAGCACCAAGGAGCCCAGCTGAGGGAGGATTTGCAGCGGCCAAGGCCCATCCAGTCACTGAAACTCCGCCCAAATGCCCTTGAAACAGAACTCGAATCTCACCCCCTGCAGCTACGGAAAGCCTGGTTGGGGCCTGGAAAGCACCATAGTTACATCATATTTAATGAGAAAAAATTATGCAGAGAGCCAACCCATTTCAGACCTCAGTTGTCATGAAATAATTTCCTGCTAGATCCAAAGGTGACTAATTTCAGCCTAGATGAAAAGAAACAAACCGCCCACATTCAGGACGAGGCAGGAACCACTCTCCGATTTCCCTGCTTCTTGCCTGTATGTTGCTGGTGTGAATCTCTGAGACACACGGTTTCCCTCTCCCAACCAAGACCATCCCATAAAAGACATTCTCAAGTTCCCCAGGGAGTTTAAGTGCATTGGGAAGAAGAAAAACAGGCCCAAGTAACATTTAATAAAGATGTTTTATTTTCCAAAGTCCATATGGGATGAAAGGATGTCTCTCTCTGTTCTCAAACCAAAACAACAACATACTCACAAAGACTTGACATTTATTTTGGTCCTTTATCAGAAAGCAGTCCTTGAAAAATCACGTCATGATTGGAATCCACGATGCTCAGAAGAGTCTGGGCTGGCTGAGCAGTACCTGAACCCAGATATCTGGTAGAGAACCAAGCTCTGGGCACCTCCTCAGCTCTGCCCCGCCCCGCCCCACCCTGCCCTGTCCCGGGACAGGCCTTGGGGAGCAGGGCGGCACTCACCATCCGTCACGGCACTGCCATTAGGCACGCTTCCCAGATCAACAGTCGGCCCGTCCAGGAAAATTGTCAGCTCACCACCCGAGACAACACCGCCTTTGTTCTCTGTCTGCAGGTTCAGGGTCAGCTGTGTGTTCTCCACTGTTGGACACAAAAAGCAATGTGGATGGACAAACGCAAACGCACACCAAGGTTAAGATTCTGTAAGTTATGAGCTCCCACTTCACCAACTCTGGCTTCCCTGGCAACGTTTTTCACTGCATCTTCAAACGTGTCTGTGGCACGGAAAAAGGAACGCAGAGGAATATGCCTAACTGTTGTATCAGGCTGGTGGGAAAGGATGTGCTTGTTTTTTCTTCTAAACATTTTAGAGCATTAGGTTTGCTAGGTAATTTCTATATTACTTATATGTTTGCTTATATCTGCAGGACCGAAAGAAAAGAGTAAGAGATACTGATGGTATGCAGAGGAAGAAAGCAGTTCCAAGCAACATCCCCCGACCAGTATAGAGTGGGAGCGAAAAGAGTCAAAACAGGTCAGGAGCACTAAGGGAAAGTCATCAGGAGTCATCTCTACATAAACAATTGTAGAGACTTATTATTTGGGCTAAAAAGTTGGGTTTTTCCATTAATTTTTTTTTTTTTTTGACCATGCCTTCAAGGCATTCGGGATCTAGTTCCCTGACCAGGGATTGAACCTGCACCCCCACCACCACCCTGCACTGGAAGCACAGAGTCTCAACCACTGGACCACCAGGGAAGCCCTAAAAAAGTTGTTTTTTAATTTTCAATCCTGGAAATGTTTTGCTTTGAAATAAGGGGTTAAAAAAAGTTTACAACAGAAGTTCAGTACGGGCAAGTTAGTCCTGTAGTTACAGGGTCCTGGCTGAGTTCCATAAGGAGAGAGTAATGGACACCTGACTCCACGAGCTGAGGTGACAGGGCAGCCCAGGGTCACCCAGCCCCTAGAACACTAGGCAAGTTCAGCCCTAAGGGCAAAGAAGCAGCAGAACGAGCCGACACAAGGCACGGGCACCAAACCCCAGGGGAGCTGGAAACTGCTGCACACACACACCCGACCCCACCACTGAGACCAGCCACACGGAATGGCCTCCATCCAGTTACTGCTCGGGACCCACAGCCTCCAGCTCAGGGCTGTTCAATAATTACCAAGAAAGGGCGGTGTTTATGAGAAATTCCAAAGAGTATGCAGTCCTTCCACGCCTCCCCACATCTTACAAAGCCAGACCAGGAAAATGCCACATATTCCAACCTCCCTCCCTGCCCACACTACCCATCAAACCACCACTTCATTTTATCTCTTAGTTGCTACTGTATTATTATAAGCTGGTTTTCTAGAACAAGGCAGGGTATGTATAAATAACTATCTCCATGAGCATTTCCTAGAGACAACTGCCCCCCCACCAAAAAAAGTCTGCCCTGCATCTCTCTAAGAAACAGATACAGTCCTTTAAGAACTCAGACCCCCAAAAAAGTCTCAATCAATTCGAGGATTTAAGGTAGAAATTAGTCACCCTTCAGGTTTCCAAGCTCTCAAGGCATCCCCCCCCCTCCCTTAACTTTCTTCCCCGTGATGCACTCTGAGTCCCTCTGCCTCTGTTTAAGTCAGCTTCACTAAGGGGTGTGGTGAGCCCCAAATACTTCTGGAAAAGAACACCTGCAGCCTGAAGACCAGTCCCTTCAAAAGTCCAAGAGAGACTTCCCTGAGGTCCAGTGGCTAAGACTCCATGCTCCCAAAACAGGGGGTCAGCGTTTGATCTCTGGTCAGGGAACTAAATCCCCATGTTGCAACTAAGACCATGTGCAGCCAAATAAATACAGATTTTTTTAACATTTCTATAGGACCTCCCTGGTGGCACAGTGGGTAAGAATCAGTCTGCCGATGCAGGTGACCCCTGCTAAGGGAAGATTCCACATGCTGCAGAGCGAGTAAGCCTATGTGCCACAACTACCGAGGTCAGAGGACCTAAAGCCTGTGCTCCACAGCAAGAGACGCCACCGCAGTGAGAAGCCCCTGCAATGCAATGAACAGTAGCTCCTGCTTGCTGAAACCAGAGAAAGCCTGCACACCACAATGAAGACCCCGCACACCAAAAATAAACTTTTTTAAATTTCTATAAAAGAACACTTGTAACCTGAAAACTAGTTCCTTCAAAAGTCCAAGAGAAGAGTGGAGATTCCTTTTTAAAAAACTAGGAATAGAACCATATGACCCAACAATTCCACTTACTGGGCATATACCCTGAGAAAACTATAATTGAAAGAGATGCATGTGCTCCAATGTCTGTTCCAGTACTATCTACAATAGCTAGGATATAGAAGCAACCTAGGTATCCATCGACAGATGGATAAAGAAGTTGTGGAGCACATATACAATGGAATATTACTCAGCCATGAAAAGAACACATTTGAGTCAGTCCTAATGAGGTGAATGAACCTAGAGACTATTACACAGAGTGCAGTAAGTCAGAAAGAGAAAAACAAATATATTAACACATGTATATACAGAATCTAGAAAGATGGTACTGATAAGCCTGTTCACGGGGCAGCAAATCGCTCAGCTGGTAAAGAATCTGCCTGCTATACAGGACCTGGGTCGGGAAGCTCCCCTGGAGAAGCGAATGGCTACCCACTCCAGTACTGTCGCCTGGAGAATACCAAGAACAGAGAAGTCTGGTGGGCTACAGTCCATGGGGTTGCAAAGAATCGGACATGATTGCGTGACTAACACTTTTAGTTTCACAATGGAGATGCAGACATAAACAACACATAGAGAGACTTGTGGACACAGTCAGGGAAGGAGAAGGTGCAACGAACTTAGAGAGTAGCATGAAAAACTATAAATTACCTTATGTAAAACAGATAGCCACTGAAAATGTGCTCTATGACACAAGGAGCTCAAATAGGTTCTCTATGACAACCTGAGGCGGGGTGGATGGGATGAGGTGGGAGGGAGCAAGAGGCAGGGGACATATATATATCTATGGCTGGATGGTGCTGATGTATGGCAGAAACCAACACAATGTTGTAAAGCAATTATCCTCCAATTAAAATACAAAGTCCAAGAGAGGGGAAAGAACCGAGGCATTTGAACCAGCAGCATCATTTGCCAGCCATGCAAATGAGCCGCCTTGGAAATGGACCCTTCAGACTCGGTCTAGCTTTCAGATAACTGCAGCCCACCCAGTGTATTGAGTACAACTTCACGGAAGAGCCCAGGCCAGACTGCCCAGCTAAGCCGTTCCCAAAACCTGACCCACTGAAACTATGAGATAATAAAGGTTTACTTTTTTTTTTCCATCAAGAAGCATCTCGGTACTCTTCATGCTGAGATCTAGGGCATAAGTCCCTAGCAGGCAATAGAGCTTGAAGTCTAAGACAAGTACCAGTTAGGCAGACTGGATTCAAACACAGTACCAGATAGGCAGACTGAATTACTTACCTTGAGCATTGGTCTCTCTACCTGCAAAACAGGAGGAGTAAGAACACACTTTCCAGAGAATAGATGTTAAGAATTAAATAGCATCGAGTAGGTTCCTGGTAAGCTGTCATTTTTATTATGTCCCTGTTGTGTTGTTCCTTCAAAAAATTTTAATGTAGAGGAAAGTTTTTTTCTTTGGTCACATCATGCAGTATGTGGGATCTTAGTTCCCTGACCAGGGATCAAACTCGAGCCCTCTGGAGTGCATGCTTCCATGCACTGGAAGCATGGAATCTTAACTACTGGACTGCCAGGGAAGTTCCTATTATCGCCCTGTTGATGCTCCTGTTTTTAGGCTGGAGAGCCCAAATTTCTCTTGATCTAACTCATTCATTGTATGTTCACTCTTCTCCTGACCTTTCTAAGCCTTTTTCAAGCTTCAGGAAAAGAGTCAACAAAAGTCTTCCAAGGTCAGTCACATACCCATTACAAGGACAAATGGTCTTCCATCTTACTTCTATGATACTTCCTAAACATGTTCTGCATGCCACTGTCGGAAATGTGCCGGGATAAGCATTCTAGAAGGGTTCCTCAATTCCCTTCTTAGTATCTCAAAGGCCATCACTTTACAAAGAGAGTGCAGATACCATCCTCCCTCCTTCCTGGAGGGATGATAATATTTGACCGGAAACTAGAGGAGCCTAAGGCCTCTTGCTGCTAATTTCCACCTACTGACAGCCACCTTGCTGTGGTCTTCTGCCAAAGTCAGGGGCACAGACTGCATTTTCCTCTCCATTGGGCTCAAGTCAAGGTGCCAACTCAATTACCTGCTCACCTTGTCCAGCAGTGTCATTATACACACATAGGTTCAGAGTTACAAGTCTTGAAGACACATTTGACTTTCACAAAGAGCCAGTGATGGGGGAGGTTTTTCTCTTTAGTATTAGTCGCTCGGTCGTGTCCAATTCTTTGCGACCCCATGGACTACAGCCCACTCAGCTCCTCTATCCATGGAATTCTCCAGACAAGAATTCAGGAGTGGGTAGCCATTCCCTTCTCCAGGGGAACTCCCCAACCCAGGGATCAAACCCGGGACTCTGGCACTGAAGGCAGATTCTCTAATGCTGAGCCACCAGGGAAGATCCCTTTAAACTAAGAACGTAACCCCATAGTGTTTTATTTACTAAAAGACAAACAGTTCAGAAAGACCTCTGGCCATTACTGTCATAACCAAGTAATTGAATTTAGCATCACTAAGAGCAAGACAACCCAACACCCACATGCTTCCTGATGTATTGCACGATGAAGTACACAACAGCACTTTTAAAGTCTTCTTACAGGACTTCCCTGGTGGTCCAGTGGTTAAGAATTCACCTGCCAAAGCAGGGGACATGGGTTCAATCCCTGGTCCAGGAAGATCCCACATGCTGAGGGGCAACTGGAGAAAGTCCCTGGGCAGCAATGAAGACCCAACGCAGCCAAATAAATAAATAAATACAGTCTTCTTACAAAGGCATTTAACCTGAATCCAATCAGGCCACTAAACCTCCTTCCCAGATTACATGAAATAAGGGGATAGAGGAACAAATTCAGTGATACCACAAGACAGCAATCAGACTAACCCAGAATATGGGACATCTATAGGGATGGGAATACCAGACCACCTGACCTGTCTCTTGAGTAACCTGTATGCAGGTCAG